GAGTTCTTATTTTAAAAATAGGCTAGAAAAGGCTGGGTGCAGTGGCTCACGCCTGTAATCCTAGCACTTTGGAAGGCTGAGGCAGGCAGATCACTTGAGGTCAGGAGTTCAAAACTAGCATGGCCAACATGGTGAAACCTCGTCTCTACTAAAAATTAGCCAGGTGTGGTGGTAGACATCTGTAATCTCAGATACTTGGGAGGCTGAGACAGGAGAATCGCTTGAACCCCGGAGGTGGAGGTTGCAGTGAGTCAAGATTGCACCATTGGCCGGGCGCGGTGGCTCAAGCCTGTAATCCCAGCACTTTGGGAGGCCGAGGCGGGTGGATCACAAGGTCAAGAGATCGAGACCATCCTGGTCAACATGGTGAAACCCCGTCTCTACTAAAAATACAAAAAATTAGCTGGGCATGGTGGTGCGTGCCTGTAATCCCAGCTACTCAGGAGGCTGAGGCAGGAGAATTGCTTGAACCTGGGAGGCGGAGGTTGCAGTGAGCTGAGATCGTGCCATTGCACTCCAGCCTGAGCAACAGAGCGAGACTTCATCTCAAAAAAGAAAAAGAATGTTCTTTACATTGTCCTATTTCACGCTTAAATGGTCAGCTAGGAGCCAAATTCCAGGCCTCATTTAAAACACAGAATGTTAGAGAAGACAGGCACAGTGGCTCACACTGGAATCCCAGCACACCGGGAGGCAGAGTTGGGCAGATCACTTGAGGCCAGGGGTTCAAGACCAGCCTGGTCAACATGGTGAAACCCTGTCTCTACTAAAAATATAAGAATTAGCCCATAATCCCAGCTACTTGAGAGGCTGAGACACGAGAATTGCTTGAATCCAGGAGGCAGAGGTTGCAGTGAGCTAGGATGGTGCCACTGCACTCCAGCCCATGTGACAGAGCGACACTGCCTCAAAAAATAAAAAAAGAGAGAAGATCCAAGCCCCTGTTCATCAGGTGCTGAGAGGTCACAACTCTACTTGCAAACTGGTTTTAACTATGGGGATTGAGGACAGGATTTCTGCCTGGAGTTGAATCCCACCTCTGTCATTTATTTCTGTGTGTCCTTGGGCAAATCATTTAGTCTAAGTTTGTTAATTCCTCTGAAATATGGAGAAACAAATAATATCTGCTTCAGAGCATTGCTGTGAGATCAAACCAGCGGCTGCTCCTGAAGTGCTTAACACAGTGCCTGGTACACAGCCGGCACTTGGTGACGGGTCTCCACCGACTGTTATGACTATTGCGTAACCCCAGAGCCAGTGAGGCACAACCTGTGCTATGGCAACATCTTCATTCACCCAAAGTTGCTTTGCCTGGGAGGCTCCCCTACATTCTGGATTGATAAACATCACAGTTTAAAAGGACCTGAGAGCTTGTCACCATCCTGAATTGTACAGGGAAGTAAAGTGGGTCTGGAGGGGAGAAGTGAAGAGCCAGTGGCAGTGTTGGGACTGGAGCCCAGGGCTCTGCCCAATTCAGTGCTTTTGCTGAGCAGGATTCTACTCTGATAGTGCAGAATAAGGAGGCCACCCAGGTCATACTGCAGAAAGCACGCACGCCAGGATACTTCAATTCAGCCCCATGATTTGCAAAATTGGCAAAGACAACAATCAGCCATAGGATGTCATTTAGGTGTCTAGGAAAAAAGTGTTTTTGTTTGTTTTTTGAGATGAAGTCTTGCTCTGTCACCCAGGCTGGGGTGCAGTGGCATGATATCAGCTCACTGCAACCTCCACCTCCTGGGTTCAAGTGATTCTCTTGACTCAGCCTCCCGAGTAGCTACGATTACAGGCCCCCGCCACCATGCCCAGCTAAGTTTTGTATTTTTAGTAGAGACGGGGTCTCACCATGTTGGCCAGGCTAGTCTCAAACTCTTGACCTCGTGATCCTCCCATCTTGGCCTCCCAAAGTGTTGGGATTACAGGCGTGAGCCACTGCGCCTAGCCTAAATATGTTTCTTGAGCAGACTTTTGATATCATTGTTATAGGAGAAGGAGAAAATTCCTGGAAATGTCTCAGTTTTGACCCAAGTGTATTTCCACATATAGGATGAAAGCCCTGGAGAAGGTACCTGTAAAGGCTTGGGTATCCACTGTCTGGGTCTTCTTGGCCTGAGCATGGTCCAGGCTGTTGCTCTGCAGTGCAGCCTGGAAGCAAGCCCTTCCTACAGCTATATAAGCCTTAGCTGTCGACTTGTCCATAAACTCCGAGGTGGGCTTCTCCAACTTTAATGTACCTCACCCAGAGATTCTCATACCATTGATGCAGCTCAATCATCCAGGGTTTTTTATTGCTGTTGTTTTCTTTTCTTTTTTTTTTTTTTTTTGAGACAGAGTCTCACTCTGTGGCTCAGGCTGGAGTGAAGTGGTGTGATCTTGGCTTACTGCAACCTCTGCCTTCTGGATTCAAGTGATTCTCCTGCCTCAGGCTTCCCAGTAGCTGGGATTACAAGCATATGCCACCATGCCCGGCTAATTTTTGTAATTTTTTGTTTGTTTGTGTTTTGAGACGGAGTCTCTCTCTGTCGCCAGACCAGAGTGCAGTGGTGCGATCTCAGCTCACTGCAACCTCCGCCTCCCAGGTTCAAGCAATTCTCCTGCCACAGCCTTGCAAGTAGCTGGGACTACAGGCGTGTGCCAACACACTCGGCAAAATTTTGTATTTTTAGTAGAGACGGGGTTTCACCATGTTGGCCAGGATGGTCTCGAACTCTTGACCTCAGGCGACCCGTCCACTTTGCCCTCCCAAAGTGCTGGGATTACAGGTGTGAGCCACCACTCCTGGCATTTTTTTTTTTTTAAGACAAGGTCTGGCTCTATCACCTAGGCTGGAGGGCAGGGGCATGATCTCAGCTCATTGCAACCTCCACTTCCCCGGCTCAGACCATCTTCCCACCACAGCCTCCAGAGTAGCTGGAACTATAGGTGCGTGCCACCACATCTGACTGATTCTTGTATTTTGTAGAGATGTGGTTTTGCCATGTTGCCCATGCTGGTCTTGAACTCCTGGGCCCAAGTGATCTGCCTGCCTAAGCCTCCCAAAGTGCTGGGATTACAGGCATGAGCCACTATACCCATCCTGAATCATCCAGATTTTTAACAAGTTGTTCTTTTTCCAGGAGGCTGCCCTAGGCTGGTCTCAGATGCCTCCTGTCCTCAGCAGATATGAGAAGCGTGGGGCAGGGACTGCCTGGCTTTTCTCAGGCAGCATCTTAAAATCCTGTGGTTAAAGAGCAGCTGCACATGGCACTGTGCTAGGCATGCACAGAGTGATTCAGCCTTCTTCATTCTCTGCCCTTCCTGATGGACAATCTGTCAGCTTTCCAAATGGACCAAACCTTGTCAGGACAGGAGCAACTGACAAATCAAGGTTTAAGGGAAAACTCACCAACTTGCAGCCCCCTTGGGAAGCTGCTGTGGCCGTTCCACTTCTGTTCCTCCAGTGCACTGTCAAGAAGTGAAAACCCAGGCAGAGCCAAAAGGGCAACAACTCCATCTCAAGGGCAGCCCTGTGGACAGAGAGCAAGGAAGAAGCAAGTAAGAGAAGGCCATCCCAGAGGGCTGCTTTGTATTCTTGGGAAAAGGAGCCAGTTCCAATTCTATGTGGTCTTGGAGCTCTGCAGAGCTCACAGCTCCATAGAGTTGTAACCCACAGGTTACTCAAATGCCTCCATTTAGCCAAACCTTCCAGCCTTTCACTGAAACTGTTGACAAGAACTCAATTTCATTTTGCCTCTTACCATTCGATGGATGGGTGGCTGAACACTAAACTTCAGTGAGTCCAGCACAAAGGGAGAAGCAAAAGCTTGAGTAACCAGGTTTCCAGTCACCTGGAGTTTCCCATATTTTGTAATTCTGCCTCCAGCTCCAGTCACCCTGATGCATCCCATGAGCTCAGGAAGTATTTGCTGAGTGAATGAATGAATAGTTGGAAGACTGAACTGAGACTGAAACATGAATCGTAGCCTCTGTCCCACAGAGTTACTAATCATCTTGCTGACAGGCAGCTTTTACAAAAGCATTGATATCTTTGGTTAACTCATTTGACTGGGGCCCTTTGAAAAAGAGGTTTAGCTGGGCATGGTGGCTCACACCTGTAATCTCAGCACTTTGGGAGGTTGAAGCGGGCAGATCACGAGGTTAGGAGTTCGAGACCAGCCAGACCAACATGGTGAAATCCTGTCTCTATTAAAAATACAAAAATTAGCTGGCCGTGGTGGCACCCGCCTGTAATTCCAGCTACTCTGGAGGCTGAGGCAGGAGAATCGCTTGAACCTGGGAGGTGGAGGTTGCAGTGAGCTGAGATAGTGCCATTGCACTCCAGCCTGGGTGATATATTGCATTTCCCTATGGCTCTGTCTCAAAAGAAAAGAAGAGTTTTGATATTTTGCCTGGATAGGGGAGAAAATGGAGAGGAAAATGAAGAAGCAATCTTCAGATAGAATAAAGATGATTAACGAAATGTGGTTGCCAGCCCTCTTGCCTGGCCAGTGCACACAAAACAGCAGTCCTGAGAAGGCTTGAAATTACATACCTACCAGGAGAGATTCAGAAATAAGAGGAGCCATAAGGGAAATGCAATGTATCTCCCACCATCACATTTGTTAAGTGCACAAAGACCCAGAGATACTGCCTGCTTACTTGAGGCTGCGGATGACCTTAGCGGTAGAGCTGAGAGCAGCCCCACCTCGCTCCCTGAGCTCCTGAGGAGTGTGCGGGGCAGTTTCTCCCGACAGTGAGGCTGCATTCACTGCTGCCCTGCTGGGGACCTGACACCCGGTGCACGCCCCAGCCCTGCATTCTGCAGACCCAGAGGCAAGAGCATTCCATTCTGCCCCCTTCCTTGACATCCACCCGAGGCCCCGTGTCCACCCCCCGACCTTTTCCTGGGCCCGCAGCACCAGCTCACCCCACCTGTCCACTCCAGCTACTCAGGGGCCTTTCGCTGGGCACATGTAAGCCCTCCTCCACCCCTCCTCTTTCCTTTCTTCAAATGCATTTAGGTATCCTGAAGGCTCATTTTACCTTCCTCTTGAGATCTGAATGCTCACCAGGGAAAACAGACTAGCTGAAGAGCTAAGTGAAACTGGGTAAGTCAGCTTTCACTTCAGGCCAGGCCAACTCTCTTACTACAGAGAGAACCTCCAATGCAGAATTCACCAGAACTTGCCAGACACTGGAAATCCCCTTCCAGACCCACCTCTGCACCCGCACAGGAATCATTACCTTGTGGCTGGCACAGGGCATAGAGGGCAAAAGCAGAGCTGTATGGGCTCCTGACCTCAGGATCTCCCCAGCACCCTTCCTCTGAAACCTGGGATCACCATCACTGCCCACTATGAAATAAGGTTGCATAGTTTCAGATTTAGCAAATTACAAGGCATCATTTCAATGCTAGATACATCCTTATACCAACAAATTGTTTATCTGACATTCAAACTTCACTGTGCATCCCGAATTTTATTGACTGGAAATGGGGAGATAAGAACCCTCCTTTCCTCCCTGCCTGCTTCTGTCAGGCATGGGGTGGTACCCACTTCTGTGACTCTGATCTTTCTTTCTTTCTTTTTTTTTTTTTTGAGACGAAGTCTTACTCTGTCACCCAGGCTGGAGTGCAGTGGCACAGTCTTGGCTCACTGCAACCTCCACCTCCCGGGTTCAAGTGATTCTCCTGCCTCGGCCTCCCAAGTAGCTGAGATTACAGGCACCTGACACCACACCTGGCTAATTTTTGTATTTTTAGTAGAGCCGGGGTTTCACCATGTTGGCCTGGCTGGTCTCGAACTCCTGACCTCATGATTTGCCTGCCTCAGCCTCTCAAAGTGCTGGAATTACAGGCGTGAGCCACTGTACCTGGCCGACTTCGATCTTTCTAGAACAGCAAGCCCTGTATATTGAAGAACTGAATCTAGATGTGTAAGCAGAAAGAGTGTAGGTCCTTCAGTGAGAAGGTAACCTTCTCAGATTGGAAGGCAAGATAGGCCACGTGTCATATCCAGGAGGGGCATTTTAATTTATGGGTCATCAAGAATTTTGCAAGTTTAAAACATATCCTCTTCTTCCTCCTAAATTCAGCACACCAGCCCAGAAAAACTTGCTGTGGCCCTGGGCAGGTCCTTCTGGCAGGAAGCAGCAGGATATCATGGGAAGATTATGGAGTTTGGAACCAAACAGAACAGAGTTTGAATTCTGCCTCTGTTATTCATTGTTTGTTCTGCAGGAATTCAAACAAAGTGTCCAAGACTCAGAGAATCTGTCTACAAAGTGGGAATAATAATAACTATTCCAGAGTTGCATGAGAATAAACCAGTCTCACATATGTGAAAGTGCTTCCTTAGCTGTGAAGGTAGCGAGTGACACAATTATTACTTATGAGTTCCAAACACCAGTGAGCTGATTGAGTGCTGGTTATTCCTGTGTAATCTCCAAGATAATTCAACAGATACACAAACTCTAAAATAAAGGCATGAGTAATGTGACTGGAAGGATGAATTATACCAGCTAGATGTGTAAAAGGTATGCAGGAAGGTTAGATTAAAAACTGTACATCGTAAATTGCAGAGCAAGGCTAACCTTGGGCACAGATGACTATGCTGGCTGAGAGCAGTTTGTCCCCAGAGCCATGCCTTCCCCTTCCCTGCTCTGCTGGGTGTGGCAGGGCTCTGACTTCTGAAGGCTCTGAATCCCAAACTCTGCTGTCACCTTGCCTTCAGCTGGTTTAGTCAATGGAAGATACTACTGGGAGGTCAGAGAGCAGAGGGTAGAAAGAATCCAGGGTCTATCTCTCCCTTCCTCTCTGCCTTGGACAGAGACATCCAGAAGTGACACCACCTCCTCCTCTTTGTATTTTTGCTTTGTTTTATTCGGTTTTTTTGAAATGGAGTTTTGCTCTTGTTGCCCAGGCTGGAGCACAATGTCGCAATCTCGGCTCACTACAACCTCTGCCTCCTGGGTTCAAGCGATTCTCCTGCCTCAACCTCCTGGGTAGCTGGGATTATAGGCACGTGCCACCAGGCCTGGCTAATTTTTGCATTTTTAGTAGAGATGGGCTTTCACCATGTTGGCCAGCCTGGTCTCGAACTCATGACTTCAGGTGATCCACCCACTTCGGCCTCCCAAAGTACTGGTATTACAGGCATGAGCCACCACACCTGGCCCACCTCCTCCTCTTATCCTCACCCTACCTAGGTGAGATAAGAGGCTTCCTGAAGTTGCTCATCACTATGTTGACTGTGTATTTGCTGCTTGGCTTCTCAGCCTCTTCCATCATGCATTGCCACTTTCTTGAATTAAATATCCTCTGTTTTAGATAATCTGGGCAGTTTGTGTTTCCTGATTGGACCCTGACTGATACAATCATGTAAGTGAGAATAGACATGACCCAGTGCTAACTTAAAGGTATGTAATGACTGTAAAGAAATAAAAGCCTGTCAAAATAGAGACCACTGAGGTGGAGAAACACTCTTCCTAGAGTGTGTAGGTGCAGAGAGCTTCCTCAGAGCCACGGCACTGCCAAGATTCCAAGGTAAACAATCTGCTTGCCATAATCTCACTGCAAAATCCATGACTCATTCCCTGTGTGCACAGGACTGCTTCCTCTCCTCCCACACAACCTCAGGGGTGAGGATCACGCCACAGTGCCTGCAGCTGTAAGAGGGCATCTAAGTCAGCATGTGCCCAACATGCAGAACAGGTGGAAAGCCCAACAGCTTCCCAAGGGGCTGCCAGCTGGTGAGTGTTCCCGGGACCCTGAATTGCCTATTGCTCTGTCTTGACAAGGTTTGGTCCATTTGGAAAGCTGATGGATTCTTTTTATTTTATTTTTTTATTATTTTTTGAGATGGAGTCTCGCTCTGTCGCTCTGTCCCTGTGTCCTAGTCTGGAGTGCAGTAGCGCGATCTTGGTTTACTGCAACCTCCGCCTCCCACATTCAAGCCATTCTGGCTCAGCCTCCTAAGTAGCTGGGGCTACAGGCACGCACCAGTATGCCAGGCTAAATTTTGTATTTTTAGTAGAGACAGGGTTTCACCATATTGGCCAGGCTGGTCTCAAACTCCTGACCTCATAATCTGCCTGCCGTGGCTTCCCAAAATGCTAGGATTACAGGCATGAGCCGCCGCGTATGGCCCAAAACTGATGCGTTCTAACTAGTTATGATGGAACGCTGTGAGTCTACTGCATAGCCATCCCTTCTCCATAAAGATGTGATGTTGCCTTTTTAGGCAGATAAGACAACATGGTTTTCTGTCTCTAGACCTGGTCATAGGAAGACAGTGGTAAAAACCGATTCATTCATAAAAACAACATGAATGGAGATTGTATTTTGTAACAAGAGAACCCTGACAGTGAGGAAGTAGAACATACAGCAGCTGCAAAGAGTCTCTTTTGCTTTGGAAATTGTTTGTGATCAGGTGCGCTGGCTCATGCCTGTAATCCCAACACTTTAGGAGGCCAAGGAGGGTGGATCGCTTGATCTCAGGAGTTCAAGACCAGCCTGAACAAAGTGGCAAAACCCTGTCTTTATAAAAAAAATACAAAAATGGCTGGGCACTGTGGCTCATGCCTGTAATCCTAGGACTTTGGGAGGCCAAGGTGGGCAGATTATGAGGTCAGGAGTTCAAGACCAGCCTGGCCAACATGGTGAAACCCCATCTCTACTAAAAATACAAAAATTCGCTGGGCATGGTGGCATGCATCTGTAATCCCAGCTGCTCAGGAGGTTGAGGCAGGAAAATCACTTGCCAGGGAGGCAGAGGTTGCAGTGAGCCAAGATCACGTCATTGCACTCCACCCTGGGTGACAGAGCAAAGCTCCGTCTCAAACAAAACAAAACCAAACCACCACAACAAAAATTAGCTGGCCCTAGTGGTATGCGCCTGTAGTCCCAGCTACTTGGGAGGCTGAGGCAGAAGAAAAACTTGAACCTGGGAGGCGGAGGTTGCAATGAGCAGAGATTGCACCACTGCACTCCAGCCTGGCAACAGAGCGAGACTCCATCTAAAACAACATCAACAACAACAATAACAAAAACTGGGTTTTGCAATGTTGCCCAGGCTGGTCTTGAACTCCTGGGCTCAGGGGATCCAACCTCCTAGGTCTCTCAAAGTGCTAAGATTATAGACGTGAGCCACCACACTTGGCCCTCAATGTAAACTTCCTGGATTTTTTATCTTAGAAAATACACACTGAAACAAAATTAAATGTGTGTGTATATATATGTGTGTCTATCTATCTATCTATCTATCTATCTATCATCTATCAATTATCTATCTATCCACTGAGAAAGAGAAAGCAAATGTTAACAATTGGGGAAGAGTTATGGGAATCTTTGTAGTATTCTTGCAGCTTTTCTGTAAGTTTAAAATTTCATGTAAAATAAGAGTTACAAAAAATTAACATGTACAAGTTGTTTGTAAAGAGGGCATTGTAATACTGATTAGATTTATGTAACCTAGGACAAATGACTTCTTTTGAGTACTGACAAATTATCATAGTTTTAAAAATCTGTGCATAAACTAATTTTATTTGCAGTTTTGCTTGGAGAAATCATTCTTACACCAGGCAAATAGTTTTGTGAAATCTATTTATTGCTTAAAACATAACCTAGTAAAGGGGCCGGGTGTGGTGGCTCATGCTTGTAATCCCAGAACTTTGGGAGGCCAAAGTGGGTGGATCATGAGGTCAAAAGTTTGAGACCAGCCTAGCCAACATAGTGAAACCCTGTCTCTACTGAAAATATAAAAAACTACCTGGGTGTGGTGGTAGGCTCCTGTAATCCCAGCTACTCAAGAGGCTGAGGCAGGAGAATCACTTGAACCTGGGAGGCAGAGGTTGCAGTGAGCTGAGATCACACCACTGCACTCCAGCCTGGGTGACAGAGTGTGACTCCGTCTCTAAAAAAAGAAAAAAACATAACCTGGTAAAGGTAATAAGAGAAGGAGGGAGGGAGGAGAAAGGCAGAGTGACATTCGGCCCAAACTTTAAATTCAATCTGAAAACTATTCAACCTTTGATAATTGAGGTTTGGATTATTTTCATAACTAGCTATCAAAAAATTTTTTTAACTAGCTATCAAATTTAAGGGAGTTCC